CCTGGGGAACTTGGGGACAATCGATTTATATGTCCTTGGCGATGAAGTAAGTTAAAGTTGGTCAAGACAAAATCCCATTAACTTCTATCTATCCCAGAAATTATACCTGCACCCTGAGAACTCAGGAGACTTGTTCTTTTCCAAATACTTGCAGAGTATTTTGGGCTGTTTCATGTGAATGATCAAAAATTATGCTTTTCTGGGAATTTTCTCCAAAATGAATTGTTACATTCAGCAAAACAACTTAGGAAGAAGTACTTTCAAAGGCCACCTCTCAAACCTTCATGAAATCACCAAGCAGAGCTAGTCGTGAGCCCAAGCCATCCCTCATTATAGAGGTTATTGTTCCTTATTGATCAGCAAATATATAATGAGAAAGGCATCATGGGATATCTGACTACACATTTCCTCTGGCTCTGGTGCATGGGTTATTCGGTATCAAATTGTGGACAAGGGAAGCAGTGTCTGAAACACCCAGATGCAAAGTTCTAGTCTTTGAAAAAGAGGATGGGGATCAGTGGTTTAACAAATGCCTCCAGCTTTGACCCCAAACACCTAGATCTTCTCCTCTTAACTGGAGCAGGACTGTCCAGGCAGGACTGGAGCTGGCATGGGGCTGAGTGGGGTCAGGGAGTGTGGCCAAGGCACTGCAGGTAGAGGGCCTTCATTACTGTCACTCTTGTGGATGGTTTGAGGCCCCAGTCCCCAGCTCTCTGTCCAAGCTGCCTTGTCTACTCAGGCAGAATCCTCCTGAGCAGCGTCAGCATCACACTGCATCCGTGAGGCCCAGGGCAGGTAGTGCCCAGTCCGTTGGTCTCTCCTCCACACACTCACCCCAAAGCCCAAGCAAGCACTGTCTTTCTATAAGGGCTTTTATTCATAGTAGCAACAGGCAATGAACAGACGGTGAAAAGTTACCTTCCATGCTCCTCCTTCCCACCTTTCTCCTTTTTTTACTTAGCATCAGTGACGGACAATCTTTTGGTTGTGATGAGTGTCTATTAAATTAAGAAAAGTTGCATGCATAAATAAAGCAGAAGCTTCTGCATGTGGTAGTGAAGGTTCATCAACATTTCAGAACATTCCCAGGCCCAGGCAATCCCCAGCTGTTGAGTTGGGAGCCATGTGGGGGTCCCTGAGTGAGAATTAGAAGGGTCCAAGGACAGTTTGGTGGCAAGCATTCCCCAGAGCAGCTAGTTGGACTGGATCCCCAAAGCACTATGGCTACAAACTGACCCAATCCACTGGTCCCTCATGGTTAGGCCACCTTGTTTCTCCTAACGGCAATGGAAGAATTTGGTGTTATGATTTGTTTGCTATTTGCCTCACCTGCTACGCAATGAGCTCCAAAAGGGCAGGGAACATGTATCCTCCATGACCTGCACACAGTGACACACAGTGACACACAGCAAGTGCTCAGTGAAATTTCAATAAATAAGTAAGTCAATAAATAGGTGCTTTGTAGTTTTTGTAGATAAATTTATGGATAATTTGTAGGCACAAAGCTACATATGTTTGGTGCTCCCTTACAGAGCTCCAGGGAGGACTGGATGCTAAGCTGGGCCTTAAAAGGGTCATGGAGTTTTAGAAGGAATCCAACAGCAGAAAGAAAACATTTTAGTGCAAAGCAACCAACCCCAGGGCTGCTCTAACTTGGCAGTAAGTTCCTAGTGCATTTTCATGATGGATCCACCTTGGAAAAGATGTGAAACATGCCTACTCATTATAGATATAGTGTTAGAAATGATATACCTGTGTGACTGTCATTTCATATATTAGATATCAGTGAATTTTGAGGTCTTTCTTATTTTGCATAACTAAATAGAAGTTCAAATATTTTCTTCCTCTACCCCAATGTGTGGCCTTGCACAGCCACTTTGGCAACCACAACTGCAGCACACAGCGCATACACTAGCACACTCCGCACCGCTTGGCCTCTCCCCACCTACTTATCCCCCTCTTAGCTTTCCCCACTGCACTGGGGATTCTTGAAGGAGCACACTCATATTTTTTAAAACAAACCCCAAAAACTCTGGTATCTGTTCCAAGGCTCAGGGGTTTATGAGAGTGAAGGCCCTACCTTTGTGCTTCTGGCAGAGCAAGTGGGCTGGCAAACCTCTATAGGGACACACTCCCTGGCTTTCCCTAGTGAGCCTACAAGTGTCTGTAACTCTTGTGATTGACTAGGCTGAGATGCGAGAGATTTTTAACAGGCAAGCCAAGGTGAGAGTCAAGTCAGCTCTACCTTTCATAAAAACCATGGTGTGAGTGAAAAATGTATTTGGAATGGAAATTTTTGGTGACCTATGGACAGAAATACATCAGTCTCCTTCCTTGTAATTTGCTATACAAGCACACCAATAAACCTCTTTTAAAAATGTTTAACTGAATTTTATAATCAGGAAAGACTTTTTGGGGCCATGAAGGTTAAATTTCTTGTTTTAAAGTCAAGCCCCCTGGTAACAGGTGGAACAAGACCCAGGTCTCCTGGTGAGCAGGCCACACAGTCACTAAGGGCTGGTCTTATTGGTTTTACTAGCTGGGTTGAGGGTAATGGTGTGCAGACCAATGGCAGTCATTGCTGGAGGGAGGTTGCTCATCCTTCTGGGAGCCTCTGGGTACAGGGCAATTGTTGACTCTGTACATGGATCATTTAATCTCTGTGTTTGTCATTGAAGTGGCTAGGTGTGCTCCTTCAGGGCTTGAGAATTTACTCAGTGGGCTGAAACTGTTCAATTCAGTTCCTTCATATCAGTTCACTCTTCATTTATCATTTATACAAATCTGTTGGCCTTAGCCTAGAGTTTTCTTTCTTCTATCAAGGCATGCAAGCTACCAGAGAGCTCCACCAACCTTTTGTGCCTCATCACCACTGATTTCATAGCAGCTGACACACAATAAATATTTAGCTCATTATGTTCTCACATACCTAATGTATATCAGGCAGCTTCTTAAATTTTTGGTGTCACTGACCACAGTGGGAATCTGATAAAAGTTATGGATCTTTTCCTTAGACAAATGACCATATGATGTACACACAGATTTTTTTGTATCTGGCTGAGGGCTGTTTGTGAACTTCTGAAGTCTACTCTGGGCACTTCTGTGGAGAGGAGCTGGTTAGGGACAAGGAACAGCATTTTTGAGAAGATTTGAAGATGCAGCTTAAGTGAGACACTGCCTCTTGGTAATGCCCCCAAGTTTTCAGGTGATGCAGTTTTCCCTAGGTACACTGTTGTCTGAGTGCATGGGCTCAAGAAAGAAGGTGGTCAGATTGATTTGGAGATGGGGGTTGCCAGGTTGGTACAGCGGGAGACCATGTATATGAGTGTGTGTGAATTGTGGCCGCTACTGGGAATGTGTCTGAAATAAATGCTTACCCAGAACTCAAGAGTTACTAGGGAAGGTAGATAAAGAACTCGAGGGGAATAAAAGAGCCTAGATACCTGAGAGGGGAGAGAGTGGTGGCTGCTGGGGGAGAAAGGTTGGAATGGAGAAAAGGAGAGGTAAAAAGCTAAAGAGAAGTGGTCACAGGGTGGGGTTTTAGTGCAGGACTGCAGGAGTGGAGCACTTCTTTGTGACGACAGGCTTTAGGGTATGACCACAAGTTTGGAGCGTCAGAGGAGTGAAGAAGCTGTCCAGGATGAAAGAAGAAGGTGAGAAGCCTCTAAGATTCACAATAAGATAATCAGTTAATTTAGGTAAGGGACCTCTTTGACTTTAGAGGGAGAAAAGAAAGCTCTCTGAAGTTGAGTCTTGCCTGGAAACTTCATTACTCTCAGGCCACTTTCTCTACTTTACTTCCTGTCTCCTACTCCCAAATCGGCACATGCCTGGGAGTCATACCTACCTGTGTAGAGCCACTTACTACTGGGGACTGTGTAGCCCATGGCATCAGCCTCCCCAGTTTCAGTCCTGTGGCCCAGTGAATGTCCAAAAATGGTCTTTGCAGAACCTCCCCACTCTGCCACCACAGATTGTGCTGGCTTCCATCCGTAGTGAGGTTATAACAACACCTAACTCACTGGGTGTTCAGTGAGATGCTGTGGGCAACATGCATGGCCCAGTTCCTGCTGTATCATAACTGCTCAGTAACTCAGGTTTCTTTCTACTCAACACATTTTGTGTCCAACACCTGTGGTTGAAAACTGTTCCTTCTGCTTCCGATGTGGCTTTTTCATTTAACTGGTTTGTATTTATTTTCTTGTACATTATTCATAGTAAAAACCGTGAAAATGATATTGAACCTAGGTCTAGGGTTCCAAGGCATGAAATATAATGCTTGTTATATGTTTCCATGCACTTTTCTATGTTAAAAAATCAATATTTAAAGCAATAAATAAGCAACAAAACAAAACAAAAATAAAAACTTTAATGAGGTCAAAACGACGTGGAGGAAACCATCAGGTTCATTGCCTGATCTTTATTCGTTGGCAGTCATATTTCATGTTTAGGCCCAAGGAATTAAATGGATCAACCAGGGGCTTTGAATTCCATTATTTTAGAACTCCTGGTTTTAGGAAAAGAGATCGTGGAAATCCAGGACCCCAGGTGTGCTTCTTATAATGAAATGTGTATAGAGGTGTGGGTGGACACAGAAACTGTGATTTTGATGGTTAGGATTTTCACACAGAGGGAACCCACCCAGCCCACTAACGTCTGGCTTGGCTCCCAAAGTAACAGAATCCAAGTCTCCAGGCCAGATTTTCCCTCTAGCCATTCCTGGCCACGCAAAACGGAGCTGCGAGCACACAGAAAGGGATGTCTTCATCGTCACCCGGGATGGAACGGACCTGCCCGTTCGGGAGGTGCTGAGAACCGCAGGGTCCCTCCAACGCCCGCAGCAGCCAACATGACTTGACTGCCCCCATCCCACTCGGTGCCTACTCTCCAGGAGCCCCCACCCTTTCCGTGTGCGCGCGCAGGAGCCAGCGAGCCGGGGAGCAGTGCGCTCGGCAGCCTGCGGGCGGCGGCCGATAGGCTCGCGGGGAGTGGGTGGCCAGGGGCGGCGGCGGCGGCAGCAGAGGAGCTAGCGCTGCAGCTTGTTCCCTCGGGCCGCGCCCCGCCACCACCTGCGCGTCTCCCCTTCACCTCCCCCGGCGCCCGGACTCTCCAGTGCCGTGGCGTGTGGGCTCTCGGTGCCGCAGCAGCGGTATCACTGCGTCCGACAATTAGGAGACTCGGCGTTTGGTTCCCAGGGGCGCGGGACGAGCGGCGCTGCCCGTTCCGGCGAGCGCAGGGTGCGCCGCGCGAGTCCCTCCCGCCGTGCTCCCCGCGACGTTTTCGGAGGGGGTAGAGAACTGCTGTGACTTTTAAGGTCGGACTCCTCCTTCCGGCCAGCCTCCTGACGCGCCAGCCCGTAGAGAGGCCAGTGTGACCGGCAGGCCCCGAAGGCTCACGGCGTGGTGTTAGGACTTGGAACGTGTCCCGGAGCCCGCAGCTCAGTGTGCGCTGGTTAGTTTGGAGCGGGGTCGGGTGTCCCCGGGCGAGAGGGGCGGAAAGGACGTCGCGCTGTGCCCCGTCACCCACCCCCTAGTGTTGTCCCCACTTTGAGAGTAATTGAGACTTGAGCGTGACTGCGGAGCCGCGAGGATGCGGGTGCCGGGCGCGGGCTTTCCTTCCCTCTGCACGGAGTGATGGGGCGGGTTGGTGAGCGGAACAAAGGAGCCCGCCCTGGGGAGTGGGTCCTAGGCTGAAGACCACGGGTCGCGCGTCGAGACGGCCGCCTGCGGACTAGGGTGGTTCACTCTCCCGCGTGCGGGCGACAAACCCCCGAATAGGGCACCTGCGCGCCGCTCTCACCCAGGCGCCGGGGCAGCCCCGCCTGCCGGCCCACTGGCCCCAGAGGTCCGCTGCTCCCGCAGCCCCACTCCTGGCGGCCTGAGGTCCAGCGGAAAACCACTTGCTGGTGCGGAAGAGAGGCCCCGGTGCCCCGGACCCTTCACGGAGAAGCCAAGGCACCTGGAAGGGGCCGCGCGCCGTGGAGTAAGCAGGCATCTTTGGGGACACTTCTACAGACCCAGGGCTTCCATGCGAGCGAATTTGCTCTCCCCCTGAGCGCCTTGTTATCTCAACCGTCTCCGCTGCCAGAGCATCGCGCTGTAGGGCCGGGAGCGACTGGAATTCTCGCCGGTCCTCCGGAGTGTGAGGTTCGCACGGCCCCTGCTGCCCCGCGCCTCGCCGGAGCCCGAAAGGGCGCGGGTCCGGGGAGAGGGCCGGCCGGGAGTGTTTGATGGCTTCACTGAGAAGAGTCAAAGTGCTGTTGGTGTTGAACTTGATAGCGGTGGCCGGCTTCGTGCTCTTTCTGGCCAAGTGCCGGCCCATCGCGGTGCGCAGCGGAGACGCCTTCCACGAGATTCGGCCGCGCGCGGAGGCGACCAACCTCAGCGCGCACAGCGCCAGCCCCATCCAAGATGCGGTCCTGAAGCGCTTGTCGCTGCTGGAGGACATCGTCTACCGGCAACTGAATGGTAAGGACGCCTGCCGGTGCCCACGGGGCTCGGTAAACCCCGGGGGCCTTGCGCGAGGCTCAGGAGAGCCGGGACCTCCTGGCTCCTTCGTGTTCCCCATTGCCCTCTCTGTCCTGTCTTGGCCAGGAGGCAGGGGCTACTAGGAAGAATTTATCTGTAAGTTTGCTTTTATTGTGGAAACATGCCAGTGGAACTAGGTCCCGGTCCCTGTGTGCAGGAGCGTGCAGGAATGCTTACCGGGTGACTCCATCCCAAGTGCAGAAACCAGTCGTGCGGCCAAATGGGACTGGAGGCACAGACTGACTTAGAGGAAATAACTATTACAGCTTAGCGTTTGGTGGAGTCTGACGGGGAGGAACACTGATAGGGTTAAATGTTTGCAGAGTCAAGGCCTCAGGTCTGGAGCTAATGCACGTTGGTAGTAAGTTGGATGAGGCGGTCTGCACAGCTAATAATGAGGACGACTCCTCCATCCCGCAGCTGAGGTGGAGGCTGCTGTTAAAAACACACCTGGTTTCTCTGCCAGAGAGCTGCCTGAGGGCGTTGTTAAAGTTCTCAGTGGGCTGGGGAAGCAGGTTTTTACAGTGTTGTAAAGCAAGTCGTGCCACCCACTTACAGCAGGTCCACCAATAACGTGGATTCCTTCAACCTCATTTCCTTAAAACATTGATGAGATGCTGTAGCAACTTAACTCTTGCTTATACATCATGTAGCCTGTGGTAAAATTTGTCTCATCCGACCAGTTTTCTTAAAGTCACAGAACCTACCCACGGTGTGAGGTGAGGACTTACTGTAATGACAGTTGTCAGAATCTGTCCCAGCTAAAATGTTCTCCTCAGTGTTTAGGACCAGAGGGAGACTTCGTGTGCTCTGGTCACATCTGGTCCAGGGACTGACAGGTCACTGTACACTCGCTGTCCCCAAGGTCAGATTCAGAATCCCCACCTGGAGTACAGGCAGCTCTCCAGGGTGCACACAGCTGGTGTGTAAGTCAGATCAAGGCTGCTTCCTTCCTTCCTGGGTTTCCAACACATGTTCTCCTGGTGGTTCCAGAATCACAGATAAGCATGAAGATAACAATACTTGGTGGGTTCCGTGCCCTGTGCCAGACCCTGTGCAGGGATGTCATCAGTGCATTATCTCCTGGAATGTTCACATCAGTCCAGGCAGGTTCCATTCCATCCCCACATCAAACGTGAGAAAAGGAGGCTGCGAGAGGTGAAGTTGCCTGGTGTCCTGCAGCTAGTAAGCGGTCAAGTCTGGAACCAGAACCCATTCTCTGGTTGACCCCCGAGCTTATGTTCTTGACAACTTCTATCTACTGTCTCCTCCTAATTCTAAGGAGTATTCAATTTGATGACAAGAAGATGCTACATTAGGATGATCCAACTCAGCCGTCTTCCCTGCAATTAGTGTGAGAGACCAGGCCTGTGGTGGGGAGAAGGATGACACCAGACTCTTCTCTTTCTGCTCTCCAATGATTCCTTCTGGGTCCTCCTGGGTGGGACATGGTCAGACCTCTGGGCATCCTCTGAAAGGACCTTTCGGTCTTCTCTGTGTCCATCAACAAATATCCAGGGGGTGCCTTGAACTTATAACAGCAGTGGGAAGCTACAGTCTCACCAACCCCTCTCAGACAGTGTGGCCTGGCTGTCGATGTAGCCTGATGTCAGTCTCATGAGGGACACTCTCCTGAGTGTCAAAAAATCGAGGCACAGAATGAAACAAAACCCACAGCCCATTTCTGGAGGAATTAGAAGCTTATGGGGCAGTCCTTATTATTCTACACAGATACCTGGGGGTGCCCACAGGTGTACCCACAGGAAACCAAAACAGAGTGCAAGGTAGCCTGAGCTCCTCCACTGTCAGGCTGTACTCAGGGACACACGTCTTGTTAGTACTGGTTTCAATTAAGAAACTAAATATAATATAGGCATGCACCCCTAAGTATCCCACATAAGAAAATGGAATTCCAGATGGTATTACCCAAATACCGCAGACATGCAGGGACTCATTTAGTCTTTACAGCAACCCTGGGAGATAGGTGCTGTTATTCTCCCCACCTGCCAGGAAGATGGTTAACAGTCAGCCACACAGCCAGGGAGCTGAAGAACTGGCACTTGAACTTGGACAGTCTGGTTCTGGAATTGTGGCTCTTAACTGCTGTATTAACAAGTCTGGACCCATGTGCCTCAAAGTCACATGGAGGGCCTGTTAAGACAAAGATTTCTGGGCCCCGCCAACAGAGTCTCTGATTTGGTAGATCTGGGGTGAGGACTCAAGACTTTGTACCTTGGACAAGCTTGTGGACTGGCCCATGTTCCATTGCTATCTACTCTACTGCCTACACCATGCAAAGGGGAAAACCCATTTGCCTGCCAACACAAGCTAGTTGGGGGTGGGGATTTCTGAGAAGCCAAAAGCTTGCTACTGATGGACTGGGGGCTCTGGCTTCTGTCATGCAAATGATCCCCTGGGGTTAGTTCAGGCTACCCACACTTGGGACTGGTGGGATCAGGGGCTGTGGGGAGAGAAGACTGAGTTTTCTTGATTTGGAGCTTCTGAGGAGGACTTGGAAGAAAGCTAGGTTGAGAGCTTTTCCTGGGCAAGCCAGAAATTCAGCTGCAACTAGGTAGGTGTTGTCTTCCTGGCTGCAGAGTGTAATTTGTAGTGACATGACACCTGGAGGAAGAAAGCAGGGAGAGTTGTGAAATGGAGAGGACCCACCGCTCTCCACCCCTACCCCCACCACCCCCAGCACGCCCTCCTTTGCCTCTGCTTGTTTCCAGTACTGGAGTCCCACCCATTGGTGTGCTAGGCCTGCAGGGGCCACCTGCTGCAGTGGGAGGGTGGCGATGGGAGGAGAGGTCTCCCAGTGCCTCTGCGATGGGACCTGGATTGCCATGTCCATTTGCCCTGCAGCTTGTTCCATCCCTTACTACTGAAGGAGGAGAGGGACACCTTGACCTCTGCATTCTTTGTTCCTCAGGATTTGAGAAACCTTACGAGAGCCAGGCACTGGGCCTACAGCAGGACCAAGACCACCTGGGTCCAGCCCTTGGTACAAAGTGGGAGCTCGAGTTTGAAAGGTTTCTCATCTTTCTTACACCTTTCCTGTGAACTCTTATGAATCCCCAGCAGCAGGGACTCCTGGAGGGTTCCACCTCCCTGGCTGTGAGCATAGCCACCCTCGGCTGTTTTCCTTGAAATCCCTGAGAGGGGCCTCTGGGCTAGGGGGCCTCTCGGTGACCCAGACTTCCTCAGAACTGGCCTCTCCGATAAGCCTTTCAGTGCCAAGGTCCTGAATCCTGCCTTTTGAAAAACAGTTGCAAGTTGTAGTTGTTATTGTTTTTGTTTTTCTTAATACAGGCTGAGAATGACATTTTAAAGTGACAGTGAAGATGCCGGTATGGAGGAGAGAGCACATAGAAATGAATTAGTGTTTTCTCTCCAGATTCCCTCTTGTATCAGCTCCTCCAGTTTTTCTGTGAGGCCCCACTGCTGGCCCTGACCTTGGCAGTGGTGTCCTTTAACCCAGTGCCCTGCCTCTGGTCTCTCACCCTTCTCTTCCACTGAGCATGCTGGCTCCAGCTATCTGAGTGGAAAGCACCACCTCCTAAGGTCCCCAAACCTTCCAGGGTATCTCTGTCTCCTGAGGAATCAGGGTCAGACTTGGAGGCCGACAGGGCCTGCCATAGTCTCTTCCAGTCCACCTCTCCCGAGTTCCCACCCTGGCCCAGTTGTTCTCTGCCTCCTCGAGCCAGACTGATCGACTTGCTGAAATACCTCTCACTTGCCTTCAGATTGTAGTCTCCACATTTTAGCCCCAGTCTTTGAGAAGTACTAGCTCCGCTGGTTTGCTCTCCTGGCCCCTTTCCACATTCATCCTTTAAAGCCTGGCTGAAAGTCCTAGGTTGGGTGTGGGGAAGTTGTGCTAGGCTGCATGATCTGAGTTCTGTTACTTGAGGCTTTGTTGTCGGTGACTTTTTGTACCATACTTGGGACTTTCTAATGCCACTTCTATCCTGCCATGGTCAGGCCTGGCCCACGTAAACTCCTGTGGGGTCCTCCATGCCTTCTCTCTTTACCTTTCTGTGGTAGCCTTGGAGTCCTCCTCTTGGTGGCATACAAAATAATCTTTGGTCACTGAGTGACTGGTGACTGCATGCAGCAGTGCACTACCCTCCCTAGCTCTGTCTTAATGTTTCTGTGCATTGGAGCATCGTGTTAAGCCATTGAGATTTTGGAGTTTATCTGTTACAGCAGCTGGTGTTAATTATCCTGACTAGTTCAGTTAGGTACGGTTAGAACACTTGTTTTTTGAAGTGACAGTCTAGACTATCCCCTGTAGGTTTCTGTCCTTGATTAGTGTGATCAGCATCTGCCACAGCACCTTGCCCATAATGTGGGCATCTAAGGTTTATTGGTTGATTGATTGGATGGGAGCTAGTTTTAGGAGGTAATTGATAGCCACAGGGGAAATAACCTCAACACTGTAAAGGCTGAGTTGGGCTGAGTGAATATGGTAAGGGGAAGGAGCTGGAAAGCCTTAGCTGGGGAGACTGAGTGCGAGGAAGCTCTCTTACCTGCACTCTCTTACCTGCACCGTCTTGCTTGCATTATCTTGCCTGTACCATCTTGAGGCTGCTCTTGTCCTTCATCTGCGTGACTGAAGGGCATCTGATCCTTCTGAGGAGCTTGGAAGTGAAGCAGTCAGCCAGATTAGGGACCAGCACATTTCGGTATGTTTTCTTTGAATATGTAATTTTATAACATGAATATGTTATATGTTTCTTTTTCTGTAGAATAAAACTCATTTGTATTTATTGTAAAGAATTTGGAAAATCTGAATAAAGTAACACAAATGAAAATAATAATGTGTTAAAATATTTTTGAAAATGGAGACATGGTGGTTTGGCACCAGCATTAGGAAAATGGACCTCGGGACAGGCAGGTTTCTTGTCAGAATTCCCATGCAACTCCATCCATGACTTTTGGCT